GACGCGACGTTGAACTCTCCCGCGCCCTTCCTGGAGTTTCGAATTGTCACCATGTGACGAGGAGAGACCAATGGAGAGGCGACCGCGGTGGAAAAATTGATAAAACCGCGTTTTCGGGAACTTTACGGGGTCTTGGGTTTTGGTGCGTAGCGCTACCCTGCTGGGATTTGGTGCTCACGACAGAGACACAACGAAGGCTCTTTCGACGCCCTAGGAGCTGGTTTCGACAACCCGTTCTGTCCAGAATCGCCGAGGTTCAACTCGTTAACCGAGGACATCGCGACAAGTGCTGGTGCGTGCTCCGGGGACATCGTTCTCTGCGTCCGACGTGCGAAACACCCAAGGACCGATCGAACTGTCGAACTTTTCCGTGTTGTTTGGGAACTGTTTTAGTAACCCATCGTGGGATAGGCGTTCGCCTGACTTCTTGAATTGTTGTAAGAACAATTTATGTATATTATTAAACGGTTTTATATGGTAAACCTGTCTCGGTGAGTCATTCTGCGCCCACACGACAGTATTAACCGCTCGGCTGTCGAAAACACCTCACCCCTAATCGGCTGGCCTCACACCTATCCTATAACCAAAGTCTTCTTTTAATTTGTTTTTTAAAAAAAGCGCTTAACAAACTTGCCCCGCATGCCGAAGTTGCCCCGATCTCCCCTATATATAACATGCCATAATGGTAATTTTTTAAAATAATAATATACTATTGAAAAGATCTTTTTACCTCAAAGAAAAACCTTCCTCATTTTATGATTTCATCACCAGACTGGGTGCCAACATTCAACATTGGGTATGAGAGTGACCACAACCCAAATGCTTATCAGGAGTGTTATGAAAGAGGATATAAACAAAGGAAACACAGCCACTTGTAAGATAGTTATAGACCTATAAAGATTTGTAAGAGTAGTAATTTGTTGTCAAAACCAAATAAGTTTATGATGTCACCAAATTCTCCTTTAGCCTACGACTCTTGATTTACAACAAAGCGTAAGCTAGACCAGAAACAGATACGTAGCAAACGTGCGTTTTATCCCGTGATATGCGACATTTATACTGCAAAGATTTTTGTGTTGAGGGCCAATTCTACTTTAGCCAGAGCAATTTCAAACAAAGTACGACTAACTTTACCAATTAGCATCTCCTCTCAGATCTTACCGATTCAAAAATCTTTCATTAAGATTTTTAATAAATTTCATACAATGTTAATCATACAATATAAATACAATGCAGTGTAATCGATTTCCGATTCATATATGACGATACAAAACAACAGATCATTGCGAGTAAACAAGGTTACAATTTCGTTTGATTGTTGCATAGGATTATTATAGCAACACTAAATGAGTTATTGTTGACTAAAGGAATTGAACTCTACCGAACTAAATGATACACGTACTGTACTTATGACAATGTATTTTAAATTTGAATTTATTAAAAAATAATTTTACGAAACATTTCTTATTCGATTACATAAAATCAAACGTATCTTAAAAATTACAAATGAAGAAAATAAAACTTCAACTTAAAAACAAAAAAACGCTTGAATAAGATCTAAATACGAATATTAATACAAATAATACTTTTGTTAACATTTTCTTCCGAAACAAATACCGTTATTCATTATTATTATTATGATATGTAATAATATGAGAATTTAAATTACTTTGAAAACGAAACTTTTTTAAGCAATAAGTACACGAATATGGCTTTTCCCCTGTATGAACTCGGAGATGCTGAATCAAACTTCCTCTCTGTGCAAAACTATGTTTGCAATGATCACAGGTAAATGGTTTCTCTCCTGAGTGAGTTCGCAGATGTTCAATCAAATTTCCTCTCTGTGCAAAACTTCGTTTGCAATGATCACATTTAAAGGGTTTCACCCTGGCGTGAGTCTTGAGGTGGTATCGTAGACTGTTGGAATGGATGAACTGACGATTACACAATTTGCAAGACAAGAGCCCTTCTCCAGTGTGAATCCTTTGATGACTTTTTAAATTATACTTCGAAGTGAATTCTTTCTTGCAACTGTCACATCGATACCTCCCATTCCTTGCCTTCTGATTATCTAAACCTGTAAAATACGGTAAAATATAAATATTAAAAGCATTGTCTAAAGATCAAAACTATCTTCAATTTATTCTCAATAAAATATCTAAATTTAAGCACTACTTTTAACGTGCAGATAGAAAACTAGTTTGCAATTTTTTCACAAGTTTCCTTAAATTAAAATTTAAGTGTTACAATATATTCCCGTGATTTCACCACAAAAAACACTAACAGCATACACCACTGTTCACAAATATTACCAACAGGCATAAATACTGTTACAAATTAATGTCATTTATACAGTGTTTTTTTCTATACACAATAATTATATGCTGTTTGCAAAAAATATATATATAATTATTTTCATTTAATTTTCTGCTTTTCATCCTTTGCACGAAATATACTTTCTCCTTTGATGCATTCTTGTATGAATTCTTATCACTGGCTTCAGTTTTGATCTTCCGTAAACAAAAGTTTAACACATTATTCAGCTCTTATTAGAAATGCTCTTAATTGGTCAATCTGTAAATAACAAAAAGCTCTGTAAAGCAAGATACGAGTATAAGGTTAAAACAATACTATCTACATCATATTAAATATGTTAAAACTAATTATTTTGGAAATTCTTCGACATTTTGCCCCAGAAAAGTAAACCTTCATTGAAAACCTGAAAAAGAGATTCGAGTTAATATTCGTTATTAAAGTACACATTAAATTTCTTTTCAAATAAAAAAAAATATCTGAGAAATCTCGACTTGTGCTTCGTAAGAAATCTTCCTTCTGTGTTTTCCTTGTAATGCAATCAACAGAAATTATCTTCTTCAATTGAGACTTAAATCATTATGTTACATTAATAAATTGTATTGATTCTATTGATTATCGAAGTAGTAACTAACTCTTAATGTAAAGCTAAAGTTATCAATAATTTGCCGAATATATTAACTTATTTTGGTTACCACTGAAAATGGTTTATTGACGAATAAACAATGATGTGAGAAAGGGCTTCAAACAGAATGAACAAAATCATGTCCCCCCACACAGTCTAACATCCACACATATAGAAAAAACCTCCAACCTTTTGCATATCTCGAAATTTTACGGTGTCCTGAGTCCAAAAATGTAAAAATTTGGGAGGGGGTCATTTTTTGACCGAGCGCTACACTTTTCCTCTGTTATATAGGCTATAACATCCGGAAAAGTAAAAATGATCGAATACATATTTATATACAGGGTTCCTACTCAAATTTTTGTTTTGAATTCCCTGACTTTCCCTGATTTTCCCTGACCAACTTTGTCCAAATTCCCTGACCCTCACATTTTTTAGTGTGGAATATCGACATAATAAAACAGCATTTACTGTTAACATTGAGTACATTTAGCCCTCTTTTTGCACAGTTGATATGCTTCAAAGACTGCCACATTNAAATTAAGACACTTGGCGGATTTTTTCATCTTTATTTAGTTGAACTAAATTTCAACTAAATAAAGATGAAAAAATCCGCCAAGTGTCTTAATTTATAGCACTATATTGTGTCAGAAGCATAAACAAATAGCAAAGCACGGTTTCATATCATCAAAATATATTAATGTTATTTATTTTCAGAAAAGTACACAGGACGTTCAACAACAGCAGAAAGAATCGTTTGAACAACCAATCAACAAGTTTTCAAATACCCGAGTCAATAGAATTTGAAAAAATGTCATCAGAAGAGAATCTTTTTACTTTAAAAGACTGTGAAGAACTCCTTGAAACTATTAACGTCAATTCAAGAATTATGCAACGGGAAAATTCCTCGCAAGTGAGATATTTCCCAGAAATGGACGTGGAAGAAATTAAATTGGAATGTCCATTCTGTAGTGAACAATTTTTAGACGAAGTTTCGCTTAAAGAACACGAAAGAAACTCCCATCCGTCAGAATAATTAATTCTGGACAACAAATTCTCAAAATTTATTAAATTAATAAGATTTCGGATTATTAATATTTTGATATCTAATAACGGAGGAAAAATTGAATTATCGGGACAGGAAGCTCAGTGACAGCTCGCGATATATGTGAAATCGTCGTAGAAAGTATACATCTAATTTAATTTATAGCAAAAATTATTTGATAGAAACTTCATAATATTCGAAAGAAATAAAACTTATTCAGTTATTCTTTACACATTTATTGCCTTACGAAATCCAAAAGATCTAAACATCGAAGAAACAACTAACAGATAAAATTAAACATAATTCCAGCTTTTGACAGAGTCTGAGTTGTTTGTAGGTGTACAGATGTTTTATTCTTTTTTGAAGCGTTTTAACTATACATCATTTCGTAAATAGGCGATTTTCCGAAAAAGAGTAGCAGACCTTTCTCAGTTAATATTCAACTGACTGTTCAGATAACAAATCAAAAGTGTAGTAATAATTCCAAGAAAAACACGAGTAGAAAGCACGCCACGGAGATTTCATAGAGTATTTGTTGATCTTTTGTTTCCTTATTGTGTTTGTGACCAAAGAGGTCCAAGGAAACAAACAGGAATGGGAGTGAATTTGCATGGGTGGAAAACCTACACTCAAGAACGTTGGTTAAACCATAGTCAACCAACGAGTGTATTTCGAGTCTGTTGATTATGATGTGCTATTATTGTTAAATTTTCAGAATAACAAAAGTTTATTAATTTATTAACACACGAAGAGTGTTCTTTTATTAAGTCACTATTATAATTACCAATAATCAGCAGTCGATAAGACTTTAGTCAAAATAATTGATTTAACTATATCAAAAAATGTGCTACACTTAGAAACAGTTCTATAAGTTGCAATTATGATTATTATAAATTATGATATTACCGAAATAATTTTGAAGAAAATATGATCGTTGCAATTTATAAAACTGACTTTGCTGACAGCGCCCACTCTAATATCCATTCTCCACATCTTTCCTTGCAGCAGTGCGAATGCAGCGCGGTATAGAGACGACGTCCTTGCGTAATATGTTCGCACATATGAACCGTGGCAGTGGCGCAGTCAGGTTTCAATTTTGAGGAAGCTGAGTTTAACGATAAAAAGATTTTTAATGCAAACTCCATAACATTCCCATTTTATGTGACCGTTAATTCCTAAGTAATATAGAAATAGACGACACAATATAAATTAATATGAATTTTAATTAAGAAAATATTTTTGGAAAATTTACTATTTTCCTAACCTTTTTGTTTGGAGGTGCCCTTGCTCACCCCATGCGTGCTCCCCTAGATCCTGATGCTATTTTTATGCACGATAATTTGCGAGGTTAAAAAATTCGCATCGTCGACCAGTACATTATTCATCTGTAGTATTATTCTAAAACACTGCTTCGTATCAATAGGCTAGCGAAATCACGACTTGAATTCCATTTAGCATATATGGTTTATGCTTGAGAGACGTTCAGTTTACTGTGCATGATCCTTTTGGAACCTTTAACAGCTACGCACGTCTGCCTATTCAAACGTATGAACATGAATGGCCAGATACCTCAAATCGTCATAGATAATGACATTCTTGGCATGACTCGACGTTGTAGGACGATTTTTCTGAAAAAGTGATCACATTCCGTACTGACAGACCTCTTGCAGAACCTGTAGGATCTGTTCCAGAACCTACAGGTGAAATTTGGTACACAGTTAGGGTACGTCATGAAAACGCACACTAAGAAGGAATTTTTAGAAATTTCCCCCGCGGGGGGAGAGGGAGAGCATTAAGGCTTAACCCTGAAGAACAGCTTCTACTACACTATTTTGGATGCGATCTTTTGTTTTCAACTACGTTTAGTCTTCATTAAGTACTTAGGTGTATTACTACCTGTTACCCGCGACTTCTGGTAGGTGATATATAACAATTACTATGGTTGTTGAAATACTTAATATAAACAGGGTTTGCTTGCAAAATTTGCGCGAGCGAAGTCGAGGGTAACAGGTAGTAGTAATATATAAAATAGCTTCCCTTGTTATCTAGACATAATAGCTGAGAAGGTAAAAGTACGTCTAACATAAAATTTTTACTGTGCCTGTTAAATTGTGTTAGTGTGCTCGCTGCATTTATGCCACTAGACAATTAAGTAAGTTTTTTCCAACTCCGAAACACAAGTATAAAGAGATTTGAAGTCGACATTACAAGTGACGTCATGAGCATTTGCGATTGTCTGGCGCCATCTTTGTGGTTTGTTTGCGTTTGATGTATGTTTATTCGCGCTTTAGGTAGAATTCTTGTGTTGTTCGCTCGTCGTAAATGAAAGTATGGTAAATTGTTATGTACTTGGTTATAATGCTAGTTCACTCAAAAACAAAGGAATGAAATTTTTAAAATTCCCGGCATTATTTGTCATTAAAGTCCCCAAAGTGAAAAGCTTTCACGACGAAAGCAATTTGCATGGTTCACGAGAGTTAACCAGACAAATTCAATACGGATACAATAAATATCAATACAAGTGTTTGTCAGAAACTTTTCATTTCGGGTAAGCAATAACATTTAATTACTTATCAATAAATTATTAGATAAACTTTTGCATGAGTATCATAAAGTGTACACAAGCGGTTGCATAAATACCTTTGTTAATACAGACAAAATAAAGTTAAAGTTAACAATTACAGATTTTCGTTTGAATAGATAATAATTGTGTTTTAACTTTATTTTTCAGCTTTCAGTTTGTTTTATTAGTCTTTGCTTGTAATAAACACACAGTAGAGTTAATATAAGCGTTAATCAAAAATAATCACTTAGCAGATGAAGAATTATAAATGGCTTTTTAACTAATTGTCCTTTCAGTCTAATTTACATAAATAAAAGTATGTATACTTTTTAAGATATAAACCAATAATTTCCATTGTTCATTTATAAATAACGAAGTTACGTAATTTTGATGAGCAACGTAATCATTTCTTTAAGATGTTACTTTTCATTATGATGTTTTTTACAATAGTAACAAATAATTACTACAAATTATCCTTCAAGTGGTTCCTGAAAGATTGATTCTCAATTATTATTTAGCGGAGATCGGGGCAAGATCGGCATGTTAAGCTTTACTTAAATTTTGTGTAATAAATACTGCTGTAAACTGAAAAAAAAGCTTTGCATATTGTCTATTGGAATGTTACCTTACTATAGAACTGGTTAAAATCAGTTTGGAAATAAAAATAATTAAAATAATTACAACTTTACAAGAAGAGAGAAATTGACGAAGTTGCCCCG